ACTTCTTTTTTTTTGCGCTCCCCCCTTCCCACCCGTTTTTTCCCCTCTTTCCTCTCCCCTCTCTGCTCCGAAAAAATCCACTCTTTCTGCCCTCCTCCCTTACCTTCCACCTTTCCTTCTTCCTCCCCGTAAGACACTAACTCCCCATGCCCATCCCCTCCGCTGGCCTCCCTCTTTCCCTCTTACCCTCCCCTGCACCAATTCGGGAAACCCGCTATCCCTCTTCCACTTCCTCTCTATTCTTTTTCCATCCCCCCTCTTCCAGCTACCCTTATAATTATCTTAGACCCTTCTCCTCCTTCTCCCTCTCCACCTCTTGCATTACACACTCTTCCACATTCCTCCCTCTTCCCTACTTTCTCCTTTCTCTTCTCTCTTCCGTCTTCCTCTTTAATCTTTTTCACCTGAAATCTACGTCCTTTTCTCCCCTTGTTCCTCCTCTCTTTCTTGGGGCTTATCCCCCCTGTGTTCTTCTCCAGTTTCCTTCTTACATTTCCCTTTCTGTTCTCCTCATTCTCCCCTTCCCGTTCGCTATCTCTCTGTCTTCTTCCTCACTTTCTCCCCACACCTTACCTCTCTTCCCCCTCTTTTTCTAAGCTTCCCTTCCTCTTTTCTTGCCTCCCCTTTCCTCTCGCCCGAACGTTCTCTTTACTCCCTCTACTTCTTTTCTCAGGGTTTTAGCTGTCACCCTTCTACTTTCTTTGACCTCCTTCTCTGATCCCCCGCCTCTCTTCGGCTCCCTCCGTAACTCACTTCCTTTCCCATTCTTTCGCTTGTTTTCTTCTTTCCCGCCTTCCATCTTTTCTCATTTCCCCCGGGTTCTTTCTCCGCTTGCTTTTTTTGTCCCTCCCTCTCTATTCTTTTCCCTTGCTCCCTTTTTTATTCCCTACTCTCTATAGAATTTGTGCATTCTTTCTTCTCCTTCTTCTACAAGGCATATCGCCCTCTATCTTCGCAACTCCTTACGTCACCTCGCCCTGTCTTTTCCTTTCATTTCGTTAAGTTCCTTGGTTTTGTTCGTTTTTCTTGTTGTTTTTCGTTTCTCTTGTATTCACTTTTTGTTTCTTCATATACTTCCCTTCCAATTTCTCCCCTTCTCTCGATTTTCTTTGTTGTGTTCCTAGCACTTTGTTGCATTCCTGCCTTTTGTGGACCCTAACCATTCCCCTTCCGCATTCGAGTGTTTTGTTCCTTCTCTTGTCTTCCCTTCCATCCCCCCCCCTTGCAATCCTCTTCTCTCCCCCTCCCACCCCAGTCATTTCCTTCTCTTCTCCCTCCCCCCCCTCTTTTGTTCCTTTTTTTTAGTTCCGACATCCAACCCAAAACACCCCCACCCCCCATAACACTCACCTCCACCCGGTGTCTCTCGCAAGTGTCCAATTGCCGCACCCCCACTCAGTCCAACCCCCTCCTGAATGTTACGGCACAACGTAGAAATTGAGCGCTTAAGTGAGACTCGTGAGACCCGAAGTCCATACATGCACCTTCCTCAGAGTTTCATTGAACCAATCGTGAGGGGATCGTCACGTCGAGGGGGTATAACAGCGCACCGCAAAAAAAACCTCGTGGACATACCCACCCTAGGGACACCTCTGGGTATAGGAAAGAATCACCCCCTTTTAAAATAATCACATTTTTTTGTGCAGCCAGAAATTAAGACAGACTCGGTTTTGGTTTATCCAGGTATAGTTACTCAGTGCGACTTGTAACATCCAAGTGAAAGATCCAAAGTGTCAGAAAAAAAATTTAAAAAATTCAAAAACAATAATTTATTAGTAAAAAGGATCACCCCCCTCCTGATAATGACTTGTAAACTCACTCAAGTGAATCTAATCACCTTCTGAATGGCACACAAAGCCATTTGACTTTCAACTGTGGTCATTTTGATTAGCTCAGCATGAATATAGCTTTCCCGGAGCATTTCAGTCCCCGGTAGTGCAAATGAAGCAAACAAGCAACTATAATTAAGAAATAAGTGAGCGCTAAAATTCACTGTAGCAGCTAGAACACCAAAAGGCACCAATCAACCTCCAAAAAGATCATATAAACGAGGGGTGCAGCTCTAGAATTGATGGCATGAAATATTGCACATAACATAAACATATATTAAAGCGCAAATCAGAAAAAACATGTGACTTATTAGTGTCAAACCACACAAGTCACTAAGCGTGACCATAAGGTGCATATAAAGTGCGAAAGCAAAATATTATGCGTTATTCATTCGTGAGCACACATACATACACAGATAGGTTAAGCACAACCCCCTATGATTATGTGCTCTTGCACGAAACGCGTCAGGAGGTGCTACAGTGCAGTGACGTCACGCCACTGGCGCTACGTGGGTCCCGGCGGCCATCTTGATGCTTCAGATGCTTTTGCTGTCTGGTCAGTAATGTTTACTTCCTTTTATACCTACTTGCTGGATGTTTAATAAACGTGGTTTCAAAACAATATCACGCTATTGGCTTCTTTTTCTGGGGCTCTATGTGAGCTGCCCACCACCCACAGAGCCATTTGAGGGAGAGTTCGGGCCATGACAGACAGCAGACTGAGCAGTGAGGAGCAATAGACCAGACCAGGAGCTTCCAAGAGTTTCACTAAGAGTATTATCTCTTAAATGCGCTCACTAATTGCGCATCTGGTGAGTGCGCAGTCTTAAGCACCTTATGAGATTGTTTCACGCTTGAATATTGGACTATATGCTTAACCTATCTTTATATGCACTTTATGGTCACGCTTAGTGACTTGTGTGGTTTGACACTAATAAGTCACATGTTTTTTCTGATTTGCGCTTTAATATATGTTTATGTTATGTGCAATATTTCATGCCATTAATTCTAGCGCTGCACCCCTCGTTTATATAAACAATCAACTATGGCTGGCAAGACACTGTCAAAAGATTTCTGGGATAAACTTGTGGACAGGCACACGGCAGGAGATGGATACAAAAAGATTTTAAAGGCTTTATGAATGCCTAGAAGCACAGTGATGTTTGTTATTAAAAAGTGGAAGGCATTTGGTACTACACAGACCCTCCCTGGATAACGATGTCGCTCCAAAATGAATGAAAGAGCCAGGAGAAACTTGCAAGAGAGGCCGTCAAGAGGCCTACAAGCAACTCTGAAGCAGTTGCAGGTATTGAGTGGTCATTGTGTGCATGTAACAATTTCACAAATTCTCCACAAATGTGGATTGTGCCGGAGGGTTGCAAGAAAAAAGCCACTCTTCAAGAAAGGCTACATGAAGTCACGACCGAGCTTTGCCAAAATGCACCTTGAAGAGTCTGAGGCCACATGGAAAAAAGATGCCCCTGAAATGCCAGCGATCACTCTGTCATTTTTTCCTCCACTCTGAAGAAGGGAGAGCCATTTCTCCTGAAACACGTTGGCTTGATGTACTTCTCATTACTCTCAAAATAAATGCCTCCTTAATCCATCAAGTGCATTCTTTTGCACATTGGGTGCTCCTTCTTTTCTGTTATTCCAAGTATACATGGAAAAAGACGTCATGGTCAGATGAGACTAAAATTGAATTATTTGGCCTCAACACTAAATATGTCTGGCGGAAATCCAATACAGCTCACCATCCAAATAACACCATTCCTACAAACTGTCAAATTCTTGAGGAAAATCTGCTGCCCTCTTCTAGAAAGTTGTCAATGGGAAGAAGGTTTACCTTTTCAACATGACAATGAACACAGCAAAAATGTCCACACAGTGGTTGAAGGCAAAAAAAAAGGTGAATGTCCTTGTATGGCCTAATCAGAGCTCAGGCTTGAAAATCTGTGGAATGACTTGAAGACTGCAGTCCACAAACTGTCACCATCAAATTGACCTAACTTGAGCAGTTCTGCAAAGAAGAGTGGGCAAATATTGCAAAGTTAGTAAAGACATATCCCAATAGACTAAAGGCTGTAATGGAATCAAAAAGTGGCTCAACAAAATACTGGCACAAGGGGGTGATCCTTTTTCCAACTCCATAATTCTGTTTCTGAATTTTTTTCTGACATGTTGGTGCTATATCTTTCACTTGGATGTTATAAGTTGCATGAGTTGTATGAGTAAATACAGCTGGATAAAACAAAAACTGTATCTGTCTTCTTCAGGCTGGAAAGCAACAAAATTTGACTATTTTAAAGGAAATGTTATTCTTTTTTCTATACCCACTGTAGTATACAGTATATGGCAAGTCTCTAGGAATGTAGTGGTAAAATTAAAGAAAATTAAATAATCCTCCTTCCTAGAAGGATTTTAAAAGAAAAATATACAGTACTTAAGTAGGCCAAATGGACCCTGCCTACACACTTGATATCAGTTGTCTAGCTCACTGGTTTTTTTAGTGGGCGAGCAAGACATGAGGAAGCAAAGCTTTACTTCTCAACCAATCTTGCCACCTTGACACAAAGAAATAGTGAGGAAGGAATTGTAATGTAGAAAACAGGAATAAGGTATGATAAGTCAGTTTTAGGAAAAATATCAGCTGCAGATAATTCTGATAACTAACCCCTTGACCTCTGATAGTTTATTTTCTTTATTGCCCAAAGGACAGGTCCTCTAAAAATTATTTATTGAATGAGGCTATTTATGCATCAGATATGCAAAAACCTACAATTATAATTTAGGCAAAGTGCATTTAGAAGATACAGCATATGGCCTGTGTGTGAGCAAGTCTTGATAATAAATCCACATCTCTTATGGAAATGGCGTGCTTTGGGTTATATATCAATATAATAATGTATATTTTGATGCATTATGTGCTTTTTTTTTTACTAGTTATACAGTTTTAACAGGGAAAATTGAGTATTCTCTTAATTTTAATATGTTTTGTAATTGGTGCTGCATCTACTGGCAACATAGTGAGAGAGCATATAACCTAGATATTAGGTTTTGAGTAATGTATGTTTACAATAGCAATACATTATTCATTTGACATTAATCATAATACTGTTACTTTTCAGGCTCAACACATCTTCAAGGGTCACTTTTTGTTCATTTTCTCAGTTTCTTTCCCAGTTCCTTGCGATATTTGATACAGCATCATCTGGACCTGCTCCATGTACTACAAGAAAGAGTGGTCAAATGGTCCCGACAGGAATCCTGGGAGATGTATTTCTGAAGTTAACCAATGATGAGGTACACTTTGTATATTACTGAATGTATTCTCTCTTGAGAAGAGGAGATTAAGGGGGAATATGATCAACATGTGTAAATACATCAGTGGTTCATATAGTGACCACGGTGTAGAGCTATTCACCCTGAGGTCATCATAGAGGACAAGGGGGCGCTCTTTAAGTCTGGAGGAAAATAAATTTAATCTCCAAACACGGAAAGATTTCTTCACAGTAAGAGCTGTGAAAATGTGGAATAGACTCCCTCAAGAGTTAGTTCTGGCCAGCTCAGTGGATTGCTTTAAAAAAGTCCTGGATTCTTTCTTACACAGAATATAACTGGATACTAACATTTATAGGTGAAGTTGATCCAGGGAATATCGGATTGCCTGTCAGGGGATCAGGAAGAAATTTTTTCCCCTGCAGGACTGTGGGTATAGGATTATAACTTTTTTTTTTTTTTCATGGTTGAACTAGATGGACTTTTGTCTTTTTTTCAGCCAGACTAGCTATGTAATTTATCATTTATACATTAAAAAATAATAAAATAGCAGTAGCTTACAGTAGTTCTAATGCCATGGGTCATATTGCAAGGACTGAGTGGAGGTATTAAAATATATATAACTATACACCAATCAGCCATAAATTTATGACCATTGACAGACTAAGTGAATAACATTGATTATGCTGCTACAATGGCATATGAAAGTTGGTGGGATATATTATGCAGCAGCCATTAAAGATGTTGTCCCTGTAGTTGATGCTTTGAAATCGCAGTTTGATGTGTATGGGGATGAGTAAGCCACAGATCTGTTAGTGGTGCCCATGCTGACCTGTACCCACAATCAAAAATGCTTAGAATAGGCACGTAGGCATCAGAACTGGATGACAGAGCAATGGAAGAAGGTGCTCTTGATCTGATGAATCGCATTTAATTTTACATCGTGTGGATGGCCAGGTGTGTGCTCATAACTTACATGTGGAAGAGATGGCACAAGGGAGCAGTATGGGGAAGAAGGAAAGCTGGCGGAGGCAGTGTGATGCCTTTGGTAATGTTCCGCTGGAAAACCTTAGGTCCTGCCATTCATGTGGATGTTACTTAATACATACCATCTACCTAAACATTGTTTCTGCCCAAGTACAAACCATTCTAGGAAATGGTATTTCAAGATACAAGTGGCCTCTTTTAGCAGTATAATATGCCTTGACACATTGCAAAAATGGGTCAAGAATGGTTTGAGGAACACAATGAGTTTGAAGTGTTGATTTAACCACCAAATTCTCCTGCTCTCAATCCTTTGACCATCTGTAGGATGTGCTGGAAAAAAAAGTCTGATCCATGAAGGCCCCACCTGGCAACTTACAGGACATAAATAAAAGATATGCTGCTGACAGCTTGGTGTCAAATACCACAGTATACCTTTAGAAGTCTAGTGGCATTCATGTCAGCGACAGGATCACTAGCAGCAGAGCTGTCCATGTTTCATTAGTTTTATTCCACATGTCACCTCTCCCACTCCTTCTGTTTACTCTCTGTGATTTCAATGAGAAGTCATTCATCATAGACATGTTCCATATGGCATTAACTTAAAATCATTCAGCCATTCCCTTGTAACTGACAGAGCTCCTGCTTAGAATTCGTAGAAAAATTTCGATTCGAGTCGAATATATTCGCTGTGAATTTAACTTAAAAAAGGGTGTGTTTCTAGGCTTCAGAGAGACTTAATATTAGTGCTGAACACTGTACCTTTAATTTAAATGCCCTTGGAGTCTGCTGGGGAAGAGAAATAATACTGTCAGGCAGTATGACATGCAGATGAGTGCCGTCGATCTTAGAATCACCGCACACTTCACTCATTTGGCCAGTCACGGGGCCAAAACCAGAGTGTGGAGCCACAGTGTGGCGGTGGAGGCAGCAGCAATGGGAGGCCATACAGCACCCTATGACAAAAATGGAAACCACCAGCAGTGTGAGGAGACCTGAAAGTGGCACATGGCAGAGTGTGGCGATAGAGACAGCAGCAATGGGAGGCCGTACAGGGACCCATGACACACTCTGGACCTGGCAGCAGCATGAGGAGGCGGTACAGGGGCCCATGGCAGATTACGGGCCTGGCAGCAGCATGAGGAGTCGGTACGGGGGCCCATGGCAGATTACAGGCCTGGCAGCAGCAATGGGAGGCCGTACAGGGACCCATGACACAATCTGGACGTGGCAGCAGCATGGGGAGGCGGTACAGGGGCCCATGACAGATTACGGGCCTGGCAGCAGCAGCATTTGGAGTCGGTACGGGGGCCCATGACACACTCTGGACCTGGCAGCAGCATGAGCATGAGGGCGGTACAGGGGCGCATGACAGATTACGAGCCTGGCAGCAGCAACTTGGACAGGAGGACGTTCAGTTTTTCTGCACCGTCTGGTGCGTGCTCGCAAACTGTTGTCTCTTGGAAACGGATTCCAAGAAAGACTGCTGACGGAATCCGTGAAGAGGAGTAGCAGGAGAAGGAGCATCTGAACGAGCGGAATATGCCAACAAGCGACAACAGGGGCCCCATGGCAGATTAGGGGCCTGGCAGCAGCTATGGGAGGCCCGTAATCTGCCAGCACCCTATGACAAAAAATGGAACCCACCAGCAGTGTGAGGAGACCTGAAAGTGGCACATGGCAGAGTGTGGCGATGGAGACAGCAGCAATGGGAGGCCGTACAGGGACCCATGACACACTCTGGACCTGGCAGCAGCATGAGGAGGCGGTATATAGGGGCCTATGGCAGATTAGGGGCCTGGCAGCAGCTATGGGAGGCCCGTAATCTGCCAGCACCCTATGTCAAAAAATTCTACACACCAGCAGTGTGTGAGACCTGAAAGTGGCACATGGCAGAGTGTGGCGATGGAGACAGCAGCAATGGGAGGCCGTACAGGGACCCATGAGAGACTCTGGACTTGGCAGCAGCATGAGGAGGCGGTATAGGGGCCCATGGCAGATTAGGGGCCTGGCAGCAGCTATGGGAGGCCCGTAATCTGCCAGCACCCTATGACAAAAAATGAACACACCAGCAGTGTGAGGAGACCTGAAAGTGGCACATGTTTGGGGCATGATTCATGGCGGATTTAGTCAGTTGTGTCAGGAACTGGTGGTTTGAAATCCAGACTAATCCACGCCTGATTCATTTTCACAAACGTCAGTCTCTCCACACTTTGGGTGGACAGTCGTGTCCTCCGCGGAGTTGCAATACCTCCTGCCGCACTAAAACACGCGCTCCGATGCCACGCTACTGGCCGGGCATGACAGCCTTTCAAGGGCAAATTCAGCTAGTTGGGGCCAAAGGTCAAGTTTCGTTGCCCAGTAGTCAAGGGGATTGTCTACCTCGGTTGGCAGGGTGCTGTCCAAGTAGGCCTAAGCCTGTTGTTTGAGGTCCTGCTCCAGGTCCACCTGATGCTGCTGCTGCTGCTGCTGCTGCTGCGTGCTGCGGCTGGTTAGTAGTTTCCTCACTGCGCTGGTGAAGAAAGCTACTCATCATCGACTGCAGACTGAGGCAGCCGCTGCTGGTGGAGCTGCCACTGCTCCTACCACCCCACCCCTCCCCTGCTGCCATGGCAGCGGAACGCGAGCGCACAGGGCCCACAGTGTCTGAGGATGGACGTTGGCGCAGACAGGCAGAGACCAGCTGACTACATAGGTGGTTTTTATAGTACGTTATTTTGGCCTCCCTCTCAGCAGGTGTGAAAAAGGCCACCATTTTTGAACGGTAGCGAGGGTCCAACAAGGTGGACAGCCAAAAGTCATCCCTCTCTGTCTGATGGTTATTATTCGGGCTGTCGCTACGCAAGCAACCGAGCATGCTATGGCTATGGGCCATTTGTGCCAAGGAATGCGAGGGACTCCCTGCCTCCATCTCCACAGCATACTGCCACGGTGCGTCTGGGTCCTCTGTCTCCTCCTCCTCCTCCTCCTCCTCTACCAGATGCTCCTGCTCCTCCACTCCTGTCCGCTGAGTGGAAAAACCACCCATTTCACTCAATAATTCCTGAGCACCAATGTCCTCCTCTACCTCCTCCTCTTCTTCCTGTCCTGCCCCCAGGGGTCATGTGGCGTTGAGATCTGTGCGCCACGTCTACCGCACCCTGACCAGCCATTGTTAACAGCATTTGTTCCAGGACGTGCAACAGAGGAATGACGTCGTTCATCCCATAGTCCTGCCGACTCACGAATAGCGTGGCCTCCTCAAAGGGCCTGAGCAAGCGCAGGTGTCACGCATGAGCTGCCAATGGCTGACATCTAAGTTACACAGGGAGTACCTTTATCCGCTTTTAACATCAGGAAATCGTGATGGCCTTTTCGCTGTTCGTAAAGGCGGTCTAACATATGTAGGGTTGAATTCCACCTTGTTGCAACGTCACAGCATGAGGAGTCGGTACGGGGGCCCATGGCAGATTACGGGCCTGGCAGCAGCAATGGGAGGCCCGTAATCTGCCAGCACCCTATGTCAAAAAATTCAACACACCAGCAGTGTGTGAGGAGACCTGAAAGTGGCACATGGCAGAGTGTGGCGATGGAGACAGCAGCAATGGGAGGCCGTACAGGGACCCATGACAGACTCTGGACCTGGCAGCAGCATGAGGAGGCGGTATATAGGGGCCTATGGCAGATTAGGGGCCTGGCAGCAGCTATGGAGGCCCGTAATCTGCCAGCACCCTATGTCAAAAAATTCTACACACCAGCAGTGTGAGGAGACCTGAAAGTGGCACATGGCAGAGTGTGTGGCGATGGAGACAGCAGCAATGGAGGCCGTACAGGGACCCATGACAGACTCTGGACCTGGCAGCAGCATGGAGGAGGCGGTATATAGGGGCCTATGGCAGATTAGGGGCCTGGCAGCAGCTATGGGAGGCCCATAATCTGCCAGCAGCAATGGGAGGCCGTACAGGGACCCATGACAGACTCTGGACCTGGCAGCAGCATGAGGAGAGCGGTATATAGGGGCCCATGGCAGATTAGGGGCCTGGCAGCAGCTATGGGAGGCCCGTAATCTGCCATCACCCTATGTCAAAAAATTCAACACACCCAGCAGTGTGAGGAGACACTGAAAGTGCACATGGCAGCAGAGTGTGGCGATGGAGACAGCAGCAATAGGGAGGCCGTACATGGGGACCCATGACAGACACTGGACCTTGGCAGCAGCATGAGGAGGCGGTATATAGTGGCCCATGGCAGATTAGGGGCCTGGCAGCAGCCTTATGGGAGGCCCTAATCTGCCAGCACCCTATGTCAAAAAATTCTAACACACCAGCAGTGTGTGAGGAGACCTGAAAGTGGCACACATGGCAGATGTGGCGATGGAGACAGCAGCAATGGGAGGGCCGTACAGGGACCCATGACAGACTCTGGACCTGGAGCAGCATGATGGAGCAGCGGGATAGGGGGCCTATGGCAGATTAGGCCCGAGGCCTGGCAGCAGAGTATGGGAGGCTCCCGTAATCTGCCAGCACCCTATGTCAAAAAATTCTTACACACACCAGCAGTGTGTGAGACCTGAAAAGTGGCACATGGCAGAGTGTGGCGATGTGACAGCAGCAATGGGAGGCCGTACAGGGACCCAGTGAGAGACTCTGGACCAGGCAGCAGCATGAGGAGGCGGTATATAGGGGCCCATGGCAGATTAGGGGCCTGGCAGCAGCTATGGGAGGCCCCGTAATCTGCCACACCCTATGTCAAAAAATTCACACCACAGCAATGTGTGTGAGGAGAACCTGAAAGTGGCACATGCAGATAGTGTGGCGATGGAGACAGCAGCAATGTTTGAGGCCGACCAGTGACCCATTACTAGCACCTCTGGACTGTCAATATAAAATATTTAGGCGGTATACACCTATGCAGTGCCCATTGGCCGAGTAGACCGCCTGGCAGCAGCAATGGGTGGCCCGTAATCCTGCCAGCTCCCTATGTCAAAAAATAACCTAACACGACCAGCAGTGAGTGAGGAGACCCTGAAAGTGGCTCATGGCAGAGAGTGGCGAGGAGACAGGCAGCAATGGGAGGGACCGTTACTAAAGGTGACCCATGACAGACTTGGCTTGAATCTGCGCGAGCGAGCATTAGGAGGCGGTATTATAGCGGGCCCATTGAGGCAGATTAGGTGCCTTGCAGGCACTATGTCGAGGTGCCCGTAAATCTAGCCTGCACCTCTATGTCAAAAATAAAACACGAAAGCTCAAGCAGTTTGCAAACGAAAACCTGAAAATTGCTACATGCAGCAGAGTGTAGGCGATAGGAAACTAGCAGCAATGGGAGGTGCCTGTCAATGGACCGCATGAGAGACTCTAGGAGTACATGGCAGCAGCATGAGGAGCGGTATAAGATAGGGGGCCCAGGAGCAAGATTTAAAGGGTGGCCTGGCAGCAGCTATTGAGGCCCGTAATCTCCGTGCACCCAGTTCAAAAAATTTAACCCCCAACTAGTGTGAGAGAGAGAACCTATTATAAGATGGCACATTTGCAAGCATTAGTGTGGCTCTTGGGGATACAGCATCAATGGGAGGACCGTTAACGGGACCCGAAACTCCCGGGCTTTGGGAAACAGCATGAGGGGGCGGGATAAAAGGGATGGGAGATTAGGGGGCCCGGCAGCAGGGAAAGGGAGGCCCGTAATCTGCCAGCACCCTAAGTCAAAAAAAATTTAACACAAAGCATTTTGAGGAACCTGAAAGTGGACAAAGGGATGAGACACTGTGGACCGGGGAGCAGCAAGAGGAGGGGGTTATAGGGGCCCCCTGGCAGATTTGGGGGGCCCGGCCCGCAGCTATGGGAGGCCCTAATCGCCAGCACCCTAAAGTCAAAAAATTTTACACACCAAGTGGGTGAGGGGGAAACCCGAAAAATGGCACATGGCAAATGTGGCGATTGGGGAAAGCACAATGGGAGGCCGTAAAAGGGGGCCCCTGACAGAAATCCCGGAAACCCGGCAGCAGCATGAGGAGCGGTATAAAAGGGGCCCAAGGGAGATTAAAGGGGGCCCGGCAGCAGCTATGGGGGGCCCGTAATCGCCAGCACCCTAAAAACAAAAAAATTTTTCACACCAGCATTTTTGGGAGAAACCCGAAAGTGGCCAAAGGGAGAGTGTGGCGATAGACAGAAACAATGGGAGGCCCCGAAAAGGGAAAACCCAACAGGGCCCCCGGGACCTTTTTCCGCCCCAATGAAAGGA